CGATCAATTGATGTAAATGAGGAACTCTGATACAATTGAATTACTCAAGTTCTATCACAACATAATTTAAGAAAATCGAGCGTCGAGTTCTGATACCACGTTGAAAAGTTTCAGCTATGGCAGAACTAAACATTCTAGAAGATACGAAATAAGAGAGAGAGAGAGAGAGAGAGAGAGAGAGAGAGAGAGAGAGAGAGAGAGATACTGAGGAGAAGTTGCTTCCGTTATTAGCTTCAAAGAAGAAAATGAACAGTGGTAATACAACTGATAGTAGACTACTCTATATGTATTGTATATCCAACTAACTCTAGGTAGTTATAACTAATTACTCTTTAACTAACAAATAGTTGGGTCCCATTATCTTCAACAAAATCTCAACGTAATGTTATGGTAATGATAACGTTTAGTGATTAAACAAATTATTAGTAATCTGTATTTATAAAGTAATTCTGAAAATAAAAAATAACCTAAAACAAAAATATAGAAGAAGCAGATATTAATCTGAGCCCACTGAATTTACGGTGTTTCCTTAAGGAACTTAATCCCCTCCTGGTACCCGAGATTATGAATTATTTCCTCCCAGGATAGAATGGATTACACACTGGTGTAGCGGTAATTTAAACCTAGCATTTCAGCGAAGACAAATGGCGGCAACAATCACACTTACTTTATTTATTTTGTAAGAAAATAATGTAGAAAGGAAGAAGAGATTTCAGAATTTTCGTAAGGAAAATATGAGGGAATGGCTTGGTATTTATAGCCAACATGTTGGGTTCAAACGAAGAGGTGCAACTCTTCTAGATGATTGTTCGCGTAAAACGGCTACTACGTAAATGGTTATTTACTTAGAGGAAGTCCAATTTTGGTCTATTATTTCTGTTATTTCAAAGGCTAATATTTTTTCATAGATTATTCTTCTTACATCATTATTAATGTCTTTTAGTATATAAAGTATAAGTGTTTTATAGGTAATATCGTCGTCTATTAGATAAGTGTTCATCTTATCATATGATTTGCTAAAACATATTCCTTTTAATCTCTATGTCTATTATCCTTATTCATCATATTATAATAAGTTATTTTAATCATCTTTTCAGTCGCATTCATCATTGCATATCATATCTCAGTATCTGTTATCATATATTGTCATATCATGTACCATTGATCTGGGCTGCTTTGCATGAGTGTTGTGAGCCCGAGAGACTGGAGAGATTGATAACAGAGTGAGGCCGAGGGCCTGCTTGTGAGTGATATTGATGGGATTGGGCTGCACGCCGCAGCAGGGTACTATTGACTCATAATGGGATCGGTATGCATGCTGCAACAGGTATTATTGATTCATGATGGGATCGGGCTGCGAGCTGCAGCATGATTTCATTAGCGCTTGGACAGGATCCACCCCTCTGGAGTCTGACATACCAACAGTGAGCGCATGTTCTATCGATTCATGATGGGATCGGGCTGCACGCCGCAGCGGGTACCGTGCATTGCAGAGTGATTGAGTGTGGTGAGTGAGTATTGAGATAGTCAGGTTGAGTACTCTGAGAGTGTGAGTATGCGAGGCTTTCATTGTGCGATATGCACATTGGCATGTAGATATAGAGATGCCATACTCCTCATATCATTCAGACTTGGCATATTTTATCTGTGTTAAGCTTAACTGTTAAACCTGGAAGCATGTCTACATTCTTGTATTGGTACCTGCAGATTATGAGTTTCTCTGAGATATTATTGTCATATTTTATGTCATTTCTGTACTGTTTAATTATGTATTTGATTTGTATTGTTCGAGCTCAACGCTGCTTTCAGCCCAAACGTTAGACTTGTTACTTATTAACTTGGTTGTACTCACGCTACACTCTACACTTTGTGTGCAGTTTCAGGTATTTTCGGGCACAGAGGTTGCTAATTTCTCGAGCTTCATCAGTTCGGAGGTTATCGAAGTAGTTGCCTTGGTGTCCGCAGCTTGACTCTTCTCCTTTATCTTTTAGTTTTGTTTATACTGTTCTATCTTCCTAGACAATGTTTCAGTTGTCAGACCGTGTTATTGTATAGATGCTCGTGTACTTCGTGACACCCGGATTTTGGAGAAATTCTGTATTGAGTTACGGTGTTTTCATCCAGTTTTTATGAGATTTTATTTACTTAAAACCTATTTCAGTATATTTTCAATTAAAGATGTCTGTATTTTTGAGTTGTTGGCTTGCCTAGTATCGCGATAGGCGCCATCACGACATGTTGAGTTTTGGGTCGTGACACAAAACATCCACTTCGGGGCAAGTAATAAAGCCCAGTGGGAGTCCTGAATCAAGCAAAAGATGTAGTTAGAAAATTTATTCTTGTTCATACAAAGGCAGAACAAAGAAGGACTCACTTTACCGTGGTTCTTGGCCTTTCACCCATATTTAGGAGGCATATCCCTAGTGGCAATGATGACAAACTGCTCCATCCATCCACAGTCATTGTCATCATCCACGCTGGTAAGTAGGGCACAATGGCCATATTTACTGAAATTTATTACTCCCCCGCGGAAGATTTTGGGGGAGTAGAGATTCATCATGTGTGTCAGGGTTAGGGTTTCCTCAATTTCCGCGCTCAACCGACGTAGACAAGGCACCGTTCGCCATATAGAAGGGCCTACTTGTGCAAAGAAGACTTGGTACTGATGGCATAACTCCGAGATCACGGGGTCAAATCCCCCGCTCAAAGAAAGCGGGCCCAAGGTGATATGATACATATAGACATACGTAAACCTTCCTTTGTGGAGGTAACCCTCTCTATCAGGTCAGGAGCAATGATGTTAAGGTCTAGGTAGTTACAGTCCTCCTATATAGTAGAAATACAGGAAGAACGAATAGAGGAAGGATACCTGCTAACAGCCCAAGTCCGTGGATTCACGGAGGGAAATGTCACATAGAAGTCATTGACAATGCTCAAGTGTTTGGATATGATGGTGCTTACCATATGAGGATTAGCATCGACATCAATCTCTTTATCTTTGCTTCTCTTTGGGCCTCTATCAAAGAGAAGACCAGAGTTCTCAAAAGACTCAGTTAAAGAAGCCATAATAGTAAGAAGATGGTGGAGTTTTTGAAGAAAATTGGAAAGAGATGAAAGCAGAAGAAGGTTAAGTACAGAGAAGATAATGAACTTATGAAATCTTTGGAAGTGAAAGAGGTAAAATGATGGAGATAAGTAAAGATATAGATGGCAAAAATCGTGGTCATGATTACCTCGAGAACTGGCAAAAATATTACTAAATCGTAGGGCAACACGTGTTTGGGGTATTAAATGCGAGGAGACGTGCGTCCTATCAAGCGTCAGAGACTATTCAGAAGGTTTCAGAAGATCTTCGCCAAGAGAGGAATCTTTACCAACTTTCTGATGACACAAAGATGTGTCACCGGTTTATATTAAATGATCGAATGTTAGTGTGACACGTAGAACCGAAGACAGGCAGAAGATAAATCGAGTAACAATCAGTACTGGGAACAACAGTTGCCATTAGTATCGGATGGAACCCGAAGGGAGCACAATCAACGTGAGCAGATCGAATGTTTGCCATCGGATAGCATTTAACGAAGAATATTTTCTGGCATTAAATGGGCAGTCGTTTCAGAGAATATTTGATTTTAAAGCATACCGTTACATATTGATTAATGGCCTTCTTTATTGTCATTTAAGAGGGGCTCGATCCTAGGATCTTGTTTTCCTAGGTTTAGCTATAAATAGTAGGCTCAACGCTATTGCAAGGACACGAAATTCTTGGCAAAACTTATGTTATACTCCATTCCCAAGCTCAATAAAATAATTTTACTTATTCTTTTATATTGCTTTTACTTCTGTCCTCGGAAGCATCGCTCCCGGAGCCAAGCTTGCCATTTCCTTTGATTTTAACGCTAAATCTTATTTTTAATCCAGTTTATTTATCATTTTGGATCAAATTAGTTTACTTGTCTATAAACTGTACCATTTTACAGGTAAACAGTCCTTAGTTTCAGTCTTGCAATAAATCTTCTACACCTTAACACTCCTCAACTCTGTCTAGCTAGAAGTTTTCAGGATAATTGGTCTTGTTTTTTATAAATTTGGTTTTAGCTTTATGTCTTTTTTACAAGAGATTTTTATTTTTATATATAAGAGATCTGAAAATATAACACACAAGAAATTTGAAAGATCATTTTCTTCTATTTAAATTTTAAGTGCTCACAAGAGATTATTTCCTCAAAGTTTTCGCACAAACATCATGGGCTATATTTATGATAAACTTCCAAAAAACACATCAAATCTGACAATGTAAATTCATGAGTATGCGTCTCCTTGTGATGATTATGAATTATGATTATCATGTAAGCCTCCTCATGCTATCTCATGTATGTCGATATCAATGGCTACTTATTATCTTATGAGTCATTTTTTCGGACAGGAAAACTTTTACCCCTTTCTTTTGATATTCCCAATTTTATTAAATTTTCTAAGTCAAATCATTTCACCGGCCTCCAAAATCCTTTACCCTAATAGGGAATCGCGAAAAGATGTAAAAGGAAAAGAAATGGAGATCAGAAAACGTTTTTTTCTTTTTTGCAAGCTCAGTAAACTATCATTACAAAGTTAGCTAGAAATTGAATTGCTCTTCCACTTTTGCAAAGTCATATATGGGCTGGAGGTACTGGTTTTATATTAACCTAACTCCATGGGAATTAGCTAATGCTTTAAGTCCTAAACTAGTGAAGTGTTACACTTTCCTATTTACAAAAATAGGTGGCAAAATGAAGCGTGATTGAGAAAGGTGACCCTTCAGCTTCTTTTTCTCCCGATAATCATGGTGTCCGGCAAATTTACGTGCACCTAGAGTAATTCAATAGGGTATCTGCTATGTCCCATAGCACAAGTATGTTAGGATTGAAATAATCAGGCGTCATGTGGAATCTAATAAAGCAAACTTTGAATGACAATAAATCAGACAACAAAAGAGATGTATACCAAAAGAGACACAAATATTTAACGTGGTTCGATTAATTGACATACGTCCACAGGCAGAGATGAGCAATCAACTATATAAAAAAGAGTACAAAATATCGAGAAAACAATCTCACAAAGAGGTACATACAAGTGATAACATAACACTTGTCTCGCAATTTTTATTCCTAAACAAGACTCTCAAAAATCTTAAGGACTACATTGTGGATGTTACTAAATGAGAAGGAATGATCCTTAATTTATAGAAGTCCAAAATATTTTCACCGAGAAAAAGAATTAGTCAAATATAGAAGAATTATATTTTTCTCTTTGTAAAAGGTAAAATCAATTACGGTAAATATATTGTCCTTCCTTCAAGAAATATAAAAATCAAATATGGTAAGAAAATCAGAACAAACACCTAACAAGGTATCGAATAACTCTATCTATCGAGGCTTAAAAAAGTTTGACTCTTCATCTTCGGCTCATCCATGCACAATGACAATTTGACATGGCATTAATTAGTCATGCCAGCAAAGAAGAATGATTACACATCTTCTCATAATGTAAAGCCGTCCTCTCTGTTCCTTTAGAAACCTTCCTAGTCTTCTTCGCATTCTCATGTGTAGTAACATTGCTCCTCATTTTGTTGGTAATTTCATTGCAAAGTGTAATAAAAGAAGAATGAGAAACTGTTTCAAGAAACTAAATATGGAAGTTTAATTTGTAAGCGCCAGGGTTTCCTCAATTCGAAGAAATTGAACCATACAGTTGGATTTGAAATGCAAGGAGGAGGCTTCTTATAGAGAAAAAACAAGGAGTGTGGTCCAAAGACCAAACTTTCAAACTCTAAAATATGCCACATTAACTAAGCGAAAGGGCATTACTCGAAGACAGATTTAGAATTTAAACTCGATGCATTAATTTTTATTATTTTAGTACTGAACATATTATACTTTTAAAATTATGAATTCAATATTTAATTATTATTAAAATTTTAATGACTTTTTACATATTTATCTACTTTAAGTGTTAAAATTATTAGCTTCAGTTGAATTCAATGATTATTGGTTTATCTGCCTCTGCCTAGCTTTTATAGATCCCATGACCCGAAACCCGAACCCACTTGGAATCTAAGCCTTTGGTTCTACCCTCTCAACAATTTTCACGCCATTCTCTTCTACAATATAAAGGTTTGCATTATCCACGAGTAGGGTTGGCATGTGGGCAGGTCCGATCCCTAAACGGGTTAAGTGGGTCGGTCTTGTGGGCCGAGGTCCCGGGCCGATCTCGGTCCCTAAATAAACGTGCTTAGCGGTCCCGAGCTAAATGGTCTTTTTGTGGGAATCGGCCCGGGACCGGACCCACAAACTCATGGTCCCGAGTTAAACGGGCCGGGCCCGCGGGCTACGTGGGCCCAATGGCTAAATAGTGATTTTTAAAAAAAAAGTTAAATAGAAATTAGAGACAAAAAGATGTTTAAAAAATATCTAAGGCAATGCCTCGTAAATTTATTATAGAATTGTGACCTAAATGTTTTTATTCAAATTTAAAAATAAAAATATTGTAAAAAGATATTCAAAGCAATACCTTGTAATTTTATTATAGCATTAAACAAATATGGCAATATCTTTCTTAATCTTACCCCCTCCTCCTCCCCTCCCCCCCATGGAATGAGCACAATAAGGTTCTAATACCACCATTGAGAAAAAAAAAGAAATTAATGAAGATGTGCCAAAATACAAGTTGCATAATACATACTAATTTTTGTTCATACAAGTTACATGGTATCTCTTACAAATTTTATAAATCCTTCAAGGTTCGGCGAAAGTTTCGTTGGTGCTGGCGGAAAAGTAGCTTGGTCATCGCCGCTTCCATTGTCGGGCGAAGCAGCATTCTCAACAAGTTACATGATATTGATTTTGTAAGAAAAATTAAAGAATGAGGGAGTATTTATAGTTGAAAATAGAAAAAAAATATAATTATAAAAAGTTTTAGGTTAAAACAAAGTTTGGGGGGAGGGGGGTTAAATGGCTATTTTCTAAATAGCTAACGACTACTTTTTAAAGCCCAACAACTCTTTTTTTAAATAGCCAAACGGCTAGTTGTTTTTATTAAAAAATTACCGTTGGGCCCGTTTGGCCCGCCAAGGGACCGATCTAGTCCCGATCCCTTAGCAGGCCAAACAGTGTCGGTCCTAACGGTTCCCACTCATGAACCGGCCCAAGCCCACCTCTAGCGGTCCTTCCGGTCCCGGCCCACTTAGTCCGCGGTCCCGAATCCGGACCGACCTTCTTGCCACCCTTATCCACGAGGATAACTTGGTCGGCCATGTAAGATTAGCAATTAGCAAAGCGTCTTTTACGAAAAAGTTTTAGAAATATTTTAGGTTTTTTAAATACTTTTTATTTTTGAAAGTTTGTTCTTTAACAGTTTTTAGAAAAGTTTATATCTCATAATGATTTTTAACCAAAATTTCAGTTTAGTTTCTTAAAGAACTTTTTATTCTTGATTAGACAAAGATCTTTTGACATGAAGGTTTAGTCTGATCTGTCCCTCTACTATTAACAATTGTTTAAAAATATCATTCGTTGTACTATCGGGTCAAAAGACCTTACCGTTATACTATTAAATAAAAATACCCCTAAACAGACAGAATTGACGCGTAGCGTTGATTTAAAGCTCAAGGCCATCCGTTTCTTTTTAATAAACCAAATTGGACTGAACCCGTTTCGAACCACATACTTGACCAACCCTTTCTCCAACTAAGAACGTGAGAATCAGTATTAGTGGACCACTTTACATTTTCTCTTCTCTTTCACTCTCTCTAGAAGACAACGCTGGAACCCAAACGAAAATCGTTGATTTCCACTGCAAAATGCTGTAAAGGTAATATTTTTCTCCATGGAAAGGCTTCGTTTTTCTCTCCTTAACAGTTTTTTGCTCAATATTTTGTGTGTTATTTCTGTTTTCTAGGGTTTTTCGTCTAGGGTTTTGATTTATTGTGTTTAATCGACATCCATACATTTATTTTTGTACTTTTAGTTATATATTCATAGTTTTTGTCTGCTTCAAGTGTTTGCATGCTTTATTATTAATGTGGTCCCGATGTGAAGTTATTTTTGGTACCGACATGATTTTTTATTTTGATAGATGGTTTATAGTTTTTGGTTCCAATATTCTAAGCTTTTCTATCGTTTAATAGGTAAATTTGTACCGAATTATATTACTTTCTGATTATAGTATTATGTGAGTAGGACCACCTTTAATGATGTTTTGGTTAATTTATTAAGGAGTGGACCTGAAAGTGGACTTTTATGTAGCTTGGTCCCAAGATCTGAACTTCTTCTTTATTTATTAACTTAAGTTGTCCCCAATTGTGTGACCTTTTGGTATTAAAGTATTCCGTGAGTAGGACAACATTCAATGGTGGTATGACAGAGATGGATGTGCTCTTTAATGTGTTGAAGGGGGACCCCTAGTCTTAACTGATTTTTTTACTTTAATTATTCCCTTTTTAGTTCTGCTTTTAATTGGTTTCTTTATTCTTTGCTAACTGGACTTATTTACTATATTTTTAGGTTATTAGAGATGGTGTTAGTTGATATAATATTCAATTATGGTTGTGATTAGGTTACACAGCCTGAGATCCTATACACAAAGAAACTGGTGCACACTTGGACAGGTTATGACTCAGACCTACTTTCATATATAGACATAGTGAATGAATATATAAATGATCTAGAGTTTGTATGGGTTCAACAAATTATTGTTGGTCCTTCTGGCAAATTTTATGAGATTGATGGGGATGTTGGGATTAAAAAATTACTTGGCTTGATATGTGATGAATATAATGTTGTTAACCTTTATGTTGTGGATGAATGTGAGCGCCCTATTCATGGTATCCCCGATATTGTATACCATAAAGAATCATACACCCATGAGGATGAGGCTGGTACTGACTGTAGCTTAAGTGACTTAGAATCTGACTCTAGTTCTGATTCAGAAGGATATGATTATGAAGAATTAGAAACATTGAAAGTACAAAGAAAGAGGGAGATAATTGAAGTACTTAATGAGTACAAAGAGTTCTATAAGGGTATGACCTTTAACGACATACCATAAGCTAGGAAATGTATGAAGTTGTATGCTTTGGCAAACAAAAAAAAATTAGAATTGTTGAAGAGTGACAAAATAAGGCTTAGGTATAAATGTGATATATTTGGTTGTCCCTTTTTATGTTTGATATCCAAAAAGAGGAATGGTGGGGTTAAGATGAAGACATTAAATACAGAACATAATTGTGGTGTTGCTTATGATAACAATACCGTTGATTTCAGTACCATTGCACAGTATTTCAAGCTTAAATTACAGGATAATCCTAAGTGTAATGTAAAGGAGATGATGGCAGATTTGAAGAGGGTTTTTGAACTAAATATTAGTCATGATAAGTGTAAGAGAGTAAAGAGAATGGTCTTGGAAAGCTTAGATGGTAGCTTTAGTGATGAGTACAACAAACTTGAAGCTTATGTAATTGAATTGAGAGATAGTAATCCAGGCAGTGATGTGGTTATAAACCTTTTAAAGAATACACTTGAAGAAGGAACAAGAAGATTTTTGAGGATGTATATTTGCTTTCAAGCTTTAAAGATTGGTTTCAAGTTAGGGTTGAGACCTTTTATTGGTCTAGATAGCACTTTCTTAAAGGGGAAAGCTAAGGGCCAACTGCTAGTGGCTGTTGGACAGGATTCACAGAACCATTTCTACCCTTTGGCTTGGGCAGTTGTTGATAAAAGGACAAAGAATACATGGAACTGGTTCCTGCAGTTGCTTCAACATTCTCTGGACCTCAAGGATGGGGAAGGAATTACTTTCATGTCAGACATGCAAAAGGTATTTATATGTCAATCTATTTCTGTCTTTTTCTATTTATGTCCTATATTTCTATTTTTTCTATGTCTGTTCATTATCATTCTGTCTTTTTCTATTTTTTCCATTTTGGTTTTATAATTCTGTCCATGATCTACTTTTGTTGCTTCTATTTTATCTTTAATTCTGTCAGTTTGTTGTTCATGAAATAGTCTAAGTGACTGTATGTTTCTATAACTATCATAGGGATTAATTGATGGTGTTAGAACTGTCCTTCCTCATTCACAACATAGATATTGTGTTAGACATATTGAGGCTAACTGGTGCAAGATATACAATACTGGTGAAAGCAAAAAACTACTTTGGTGGTGTGCATGGTCTACTTATGAGAAGGAATTCAAGGACTAACTGAAGAATTTAGGGGAGTTGAACAAGGATGCAGTAGCTGGTTTGTTGAAGTACTCACCGCAGGCTTGGTGTAGAGCCTATATGGACACAGTGTGCAAGAATTAGTCAGTTGATAATAACTTGACTGAATCCTTCAATAAGTGAATTTTGGAGGCAAGGCATAAGCCAATAATAAAGATGTTGGGGGATATTAGAATCAAAGTGATGAACTTGTTAAGAGAACATGAAGATGAAATGAGGAGTTGGAGACATAACTTTAGTCCAAAAAGCATAGAGTTTTATAGTGAGTACGTGCAAATTTCTCAATCAGCTTGTAGAGTTAACGCCAATGGAGAAAATGGCTATAAAGTGTCAGAAGGTTCTGATAAGCATTGTGTGAAAATGGTTGTAAAGAAGTGCACTTGTAGGCAGTGAGACCTTACAGGAATCCTATGTCCACATGTTATTAAAGTTGTACTTCATAACATGGGTGATCCTTTGACAGAAATGAACTGGTGGTATAGCAAAGAGGCATTTCTACTAATTTATAAATACAAGCTGCAATCTGTAAGAGGAGAATTTTTTTGAAAGATTGACCCATCACAAGTAATGGAGCCACCTGAGTTGATGAAGTTGGTTGGCAGGCCTAACGTTAAGAGAGATAGGCAGAAGGGTGAGGCAATTAAAAAGCAAGGATTATGGTCACAATCCAGAAAAGGAAGAGTCGTGACTTGTAGCAAATGTGGAGAGACAACCCACAATGATAGAACTTGTGAACATGTAGAGTGTAATTTGAATATTTATTTACTGAAATTTGAAGTTATTTTATTTTTCTAACTTGGATTTTTTTCAGCAACCAAAGGGAAAAGGAAAACAACAAACAAAGAGGCCAAGAACTTTGATAGATGAAGAAACTAAAGAAGAAATTAACTGTTCAGCCCCTCCAATCAGTCAACTAAGTCAAGACAGTGACTTTAGGTTCATGCCTACACCTAGAGTTATGAGTATTGGCCAATCAAACAAGGATCTGGAGATTGATTAAGATGTTATGCTGAGGCCAAGAGTGATATCAAAAGTCAATACAAGACTTAAGATGAGACAGAAGGTACCAATACCCACTGGCACAAGGTCAATCAACTTCAGTGGTGATCACACTGGTGTGAGTTATCCGACAAACCTTCCATACTTACCACCATCTTTAAGCTGGAAAGGAAAACCTGCTATAACTGCAAATCAGTTAGAAAAACAAAGGCAACAGAGGATTAGGAAGCTTAGGCCAAGGAAAGGAAATTGATGACCAAGTTGAACATTTTTTGTGTTTTGTTGGGATGTATTAACTGCAAACTTGTTAATATTGGTATTGGATTTGGATGTCATATTATGGCTTGGTTGTGTAATTTTTTGTTATTATAATATGAAATCCATTCATCCATTAGGTAATATTTTGATGATGTAACTACTGTGATGACAGTACTTAAATGTTTATTGACTAGTATTTATTGGCTAGTATTTATTCCGTAAATTGTCCCTTTCAAGTTTGCACGTATCTACATACTTAACTGATGCGATCTTTTGGCCTTAGCAGTGCTGTAGTTTTGAAATGATACAGGTTTAGGTGTTGATTTGCGGCGTCATTTCTATGTTGAGTTATTCATAGGTGTATCTACATCCTGAATTTTGAGCAACTATTTTAGTGTCTATTATACTCATCTCAATATGAGAATTCACAATAGCTTGTTTCAGGTAGTGCACTACAGTTATGTTGAAATGATACATTTTTTAAGTAATAATGCAACATGAAAAAGCATTACAAATCAGTAGGCACTACACAAAGTAGAAATATTTTCATAACATTACAAACCAGTTCATCAATACAAAAAGATTCATGTGCATTTTGATTACAACAATACAATTCATCAACAATATTTAACTTCATCAAAGACAATAAGCACTAATTGGTCTTAATTAATGCACTACTTCATCATCATTGCCGCAAGAAAGCCAACAAACAGTGCAAACGATATCAAAACAAACATCTTCATCTTCAACAATTTCTCTTCCATCTCCCTTGCTTTATTCACTTCAATATTTTTTACAGCCTACTTTTTCCAGTAATTTGTCTTTGCACGTATCCAACAAATGATTCAACATATTGATTGTCACATTAGCAACATCTAATTTACACTGCAACTTGTTGCTTTCTATCAACGCTCTGTCCGGGTAGGCTTCGTCTTGCCATTCCCAATATCCGCACGACTCATTCTAACAAAAACAACCAATTACGAAATTTGTATAATACCTTCGAACAACGAATTACAAGCAAAATTAATAATTACTTCAGGTTTAGCACACTTATAGAATCTCCTTCCGGGATTTTGAGGTGTGGTTGATTTCAAGTTCTTGGTAATCTCCCCACAATGGTACCTCCTCTTTGATGTAGCCGTTGAATCAGACATTGAACCCACCTTTGAGACTGAATTAGGGTTCTGATTAGAGAGGAGACACTTTTATCTGATTAAGGGGACTAAATTAGGGTTCTGAACTCTATATTTAGTTGGAGAAAGAGTGGGCCAAGTACGATGGGTCGGAGCGGGTTCGGTCCAATTTGGTTTATTAAAAAGAACCGAATGGCCTTGAGTTTTAAATCAACGCCACATGACAATTCCGTCTGTTTAGGGGTATTTTTGTTTAATAGTGTAACGGTAAGGAGTCTTTTGACCCGATAGTATAACCAATGACATTTTAAAATAATTGTTAATAATAGAGAGTCAGATCAACCCTTTAGCCTTTGACAAATGATTAGATCCTTAGCCGACTGATGATTGGATTTAAAAAGCTTTATTTCTATTATATTAAAATACTGGAGCGTGGGGTCATATTCTTTTTGTTACATCTATTTGGAGTATTCTTGCTCGAATAAAATATTTATGGGTTAACGTTTCGAACTCAATCTAACAGCCAAACATCGTGATAAGAAGCATTGTAGTATGTTTTCGCACTAATAAATTTATACATACATCTAATTGTAATGAAATTTTATTTCATCAAATATTGAAATTTTAGTAAACTTTTACATATATGTCTAACTTCAGTAACAAAAGTATTGAATTTAATTGAAATGAATAAATATTGGTGCATCTCTGCATCGCTGGTATTGGACCCCATGACACGTAACCAAACCCACTTCGAATCTAAGACTTGATTCTACTGGCGGAAATGCAGATATACCCGATTTTGGGACCAACATTGAAGTCATATTTGTAGTGCACAAAAATTTATAAATTTATTCACTTTTAGAATAAATTCAGAGATATGGGTCTGAAGTTGTAAGAATCTTATCTGAATTTGAGAAGTCATGACTAAAGCTTAAGTTCAAGCATTTTTTATGTACTTCAGGCACATATAACTGAAGTTCAGGCATTTATGAATGACCTACAGGCACATATGGCTGAAGTTCAGGTATTTATGAATGAACTTAAAGAAAATATGCTAAACTTCAGGTAATTTTTGCTTGAACTTCAGCCATTTTTGTCTGAAGTCTCAATCATTTTTTGCCTAAAACATTACTGTCCGGAAATAACTTGTTCTTACTTCATAGTCTGGAGTTAGGCTCGATAATGTTAAACTTGTCATCAAAGCCTAACTTCAGACATATATATTTAAAGAATACGCAATGAACATTTTAAGTACAGATCAAAAGGATAGTAAACTTTAAAAACAAAGTACATACATATATCGACCATCAAATAGAGATACGAGAGAAACATGGGAATTAGGTACTTAACATATATACATACAACCATAAGAAGAGGTAAAACCCTATGGGAATAGAATTGCTGATAAAGCTTGAAGCTTTGCCTGTTTGCATCGCCAACGAAGTGTTAGGGTTTGCCTTTATATTTTTATTTAAATATTTCTTTTTCTTGGAAGAAGGGTAAAATATTTATCATAATTGATTTTTCTAAAAGAAAAATATAAATCACTTCCATATTTCACTACCCTTTCTTGGAGGAAATATTTTGAATTTCTATAAGTTGAAGATCCCTTTGTCTCACACAACAACATAATAGTATCCACAATGTAGTTCTTAAAAGAGTCCTATTTAGGGGGAGAGTTTATTCTCTCGATAAGTTTTTTTTAAATTAGTATATTGATGTAATTTAATTGACTAAAAGATATTAAAGTATTATGCTTATTTTAGTATATTTTTCTTTATTGTATAATTTATCATCCCCAAGATTTATTTTGTTAGCTTGCACATGACGCCTTTTATTTCGATCTGAATAAGTGATATCATAGTCAATGGTTCAGTAAGGTTGAAGCAAGGTTCAAAGCGTGTTCAGTAGCTGATGCCAATTTGACGATAATGAAGATTAGTATCCAAAAGAATTATGTCTAAATTACTATACGTGGAGATAAATGTTCAGCCATATATTTTCAACATTCCTGTTGTTATATCTTTCAAAGCAAAAAAGGGCTCGAATTTTCGACCTATACTTACTTTTAACACATGGGCTCCATTTTTTACCCTACTTACTTTTAACGTTTTTGACCTACTTCGCTTCTAACCCTTCTCATGTTTAACACATTCTCTACTTTTAATCCTATTTACTTTTAATGCAGGGCTCTAATATTTTTAACATATGCTCACATTTAACTCATAGAGCTCCAATTATCAATTCATAACATCATCACTTTCAAGGTTAGGTCTTTCGTATATCTCATGCCTTAGAAATTCATTCTCTTTCCCAACTTAGGGTCATAAATATGGTTTTCACATATGTTCACATGTGCTAGTTGACATCAGGTTTATTTGTCTTGTCGTTAGCTTTTCGAGAGTGGTTAAAACCCCAAACATATTCCTCATATATGGTACGCTTCAAATATTGTGAGCTTAGCCCTCATGTCCTTATAGTACACTTTATCTTTTATATGTCACTAGTCAACACGTACTTCAAGCATGATCATGACTTGCCAAAGAGAAGTTTGATGTCACGATCCAAAATCCTAACTATGAGGTC